AGGATATATATCCGTTCCATTAAACTCAGGGGATGTTAGGGAATTTAAAAAGGAAATGGGACATTTGTTAGAAGATCCTTTAGGGGTGGCAGAGCGGTTGGATCAATTTTTGGGACCTAATATTTATACTTGGGAGGAGATGCAATCCATGTTAGGGATTTTGTTTTCTGCAGAAGAAAGAAGAATGATTAGAGAAATGGGCATGAGAATCTGGGATGATGAACATCAACAGGGACCATTAGCAGATACTAAATGGCCCCTACATAATCCCCAGTGGAATAATCAAGACCCATTACACCATACCCATATGGGCGATTTGCGAAATATAATAATACAGGGAATAAGGAAGGCTGTCCCTCGTGGACAGAATGTACAAAAGGCATTCAAGGAACAACAAAAGAAGGATGAAGATCCAACTGAGTGGTTGGAGAGGCTGAGAAAAGCCTTTCAGTTATATTCAGGGGTGGACCCTAACACTCCTGAAGGAGAGACATTGTTAAAAGTTCATTTTGTGGTAAATTCGTGGGTGGATATTCGAAAGAAGTTGGAAAAGTTAGAAGGGTGGCAAGCAAGGGGGCTGGATGAGTTACTGGGGAGTCTCAGAAGGTTTATGTTGGGAGGGAGGATGAGAACTACAAGAAGCAGTCTAAGATTATGTTAGCAGCTGTAAGGGAAGGACAGAGGCAATCTCCCCAAAGAAGGGGTGGTGGTCACCCAGGAGGTTTGAAGGAAGCTGGTCGACAGGTGCATGAAGGAAGACAAGGTAGAGGAGATAGGACTGTTTGCTTTTACTGTGGGAAAAAGGGACATATGAAATGGGAATGCCGACAAAGGATGGCTGATGAAAAGCAGTTTAAGGAAGATTAGGGGTGTCAGGGGCTCTATCTGCTGGGGACAAGAGAAAGAACAGAGCCCCTGGTAAAATTAAAACTAGGTCCCCAGCAGCAAGAATATGAGTTCCTTGTGGACTCAGGGGCAGAAAGATCGACCGTCCAGACCCTTCCCCTAGGGTGTAAGATTTCATCTGAAATAATACAGGTGATTGGAGCCAAAGGGGAACCCTTTGGAGTACCTATAATCAAGGATGTACTCTTAGAAAGTAACTCCAAATTAGGAATTGGGTCGTTTTTATTAGTACCAGAAGCAGATTATAATTTACTGGGAAGGGATTTGATGATTGAATTGGGGATAGGGATAGAGATTAGTGAGGGAGAACTGACAGTAAAATTGTGTCCTCTCCGGGCTGAGGATGAGAAAAAGATTAATCCAGAGGTGTGGTATACCCCTGATAGTGTAGGAAAATTGAATATTGAACCCTTTGAAGTAACTATTAGGAACCCAGAGATACCTGTCAGAATTAGGCAATATCCTATATCTAAGGAGGGGAGGCAAGGACTGAAACCAGAAATAGAAAGGCTTTTAGAAAAGGGACTTTTAGAACCATGTATGTCCCCTTTTAATACCCCCATTTTACCAGTAAAGAAACCCAATGGTAGTTATAGGTTAGTACATGATTTACGGGAAATTAACAAAAGAACTGTTGAAAGGTTCCCTGTGGTAGCTAACCCACATACCCTTTTAAGTCAACTTGGCCCAGAAAACCAGTGGTATATTGTAATAGATCTCAAAGATGCCTTCTGGGCTTGTCCCCTTAAGGAAACTTCTAGAGATTATTTTGCTTTTGAATGTGAGGATCCAGATACACATAGAAAACAACAATTGAGGTGGACAGTCCTTCCCCAGGGATTTACAGAATCCCCAAATCTGTTTGGACAAGCTTTGGAACAAGTACTGGAAGGTTATTCTTTAGGGGAAGGGATGGTGTTACTACAATATGTGGATGATTTTTTAATTGCAGGGAAAAAAAAAAAAAGTAAGGGAAGAAAGTATAAAACTCCTAAATTATTTAAGCCTTTAAGGGACTTAAAGTCTCTAAGTCAAAATTGCAGTTTGTAGAAGAAGAGGTCAAATATCTCGGGCACTGGTTAACAAGGGGAACCAAGAAATTGGACACTGATAGAATCCAAGGAATACTTTCCCTATAGGCCCCACAGAACAAAAGACAAGTTCGACAGTTACTGGGACTCTTCGGGTATTGCTGACAATGGATCGAAAATTTTAGTGGAAAAGTCAAATTTTTATATGAAAAATTAACTAATGATGGGTTATTGAAATGGAGCACCAATGATGAAGATCAATTAGAAGCATTAAAAACTGAACTAGTCAATGCTCCAGTCCTTAGCATTCCAGATTTGAAGAGATCATTTTACTTATTTATTTGTGCAAATGAGGGAGTAGCATATGGTGTATTAGCTCAGGATTGGGCTGGGAAAAAGAAACCAGTAGCATACCTCTCCAAACTCCTGGATCCCATTAGCCGGGGGTGGCCCACATGCTTACAGGCTATAGTGGCTGCTGCTCTCCTGGTAGAGGAAGCTGGGAAGATAACCTTTGGAAGTGAGCTAAAAGTCTTATCTCCCCATAACATTCGTGGAGTTTTGCAACAGAAGGCTGATAAATGGATAATGGATGCCAGACTTCTAAGGTATGAAGGCATCCTAGTCTCTTCTCCTAAGTTAAGTATAGAAACAACGAGCCTGCAAAACCCGGCCCAGTTTTTATACGGAGAACCAATTACAGAACTAACACATGATTGCCTTCAACAAATAGAGGAACAAACAAAAATAAGGCCGGATCTTGAGGAAGAAGAGCTAGAGGAAGGGACTCGATTGTATGTAGATGGGTCCTCTCGAGTTCTGGAAGGGAAAAGGAAATCCGGGTATGCTATAATAGATGGGAAAACATTTAAGACAGCAGAATCGGGTCCCCTTAGCCCCAGCTGGTCAGCCCAAGCATGCGAATTATATGCAGTGCTTAGGGCTCTAAAATTATTGGAAGGAAAAAGTGGGACTATTTTCACTGATTCTAAATATGCCTATGGAGTAGTTCATACTTTTGGAAAAATCTGGGAAGAAAGGGGACTTATTAACTCACAGGGAAAGGGGCTGGTACATAAAGAACTGATTCGGCAGGTATTACAAGCTTTGAGAGGGCCAGAGAAAATAGCCATTGTCCATGTAAAAGGACATCAAGCAGGGATTGGAAATTCGATACAAGGAAACAATTTGGCGGACCAGGAAGAGAAACGAGCGGCCCTGATGAATTTAAAGCCATGGACAGGACTTGTCACAAGGAGAGAGGATTGCTCCACTTGTGGAGCTGACTTAGAAGATCCACCGTGTTGGGTTTGCTGGAAATACTATGGGATAGACTCAATAAAATGTGCCTGTGATACCCCTCGAAAGAAACATTGCTGGTTTCATGGACCTATTGATTACATACTAGCCTTCACTGTGCAAGAAAAGGAGAAATTAGGCCAGATGGGGATAAGAGAAAAAGAGGAAGGCAAATGGGTATTGCCCGACGGGTGGGAAGTACTCCCAAAAGGGATGGCAATGAGGGTCCTACAAGCAATCCATGAGAAAACCCACTGGGGTACACAAGCCTTGGTTGATCAATTTGCTATAAAATATATGTGTATAGGAGTCTATAACCTTGCAAAACAGGTAACTCAACAGTGTTTAACTTGTCAAAAAGTGAATAAACAACAACTGAGAGAAAAACCAATGGGCGGCAGGGAGCTAGCACAAAGACCCTTCTCACACATACAAGTAGATTTTACAGAATTACCAAAAGTGGGGAGATATAAATATTTATTGGTACTGGTAGACCATTTGACCCATTACGTGGAAGCCTATCCTACTGCCCGAGCCACCTCAAATACCGTAGTAAAAGTATTACTAGAACAAATTATTCCCCGATATGGATTAATTGAATATTTAGACTCAGATAGGGGGCCTCATTTCACATCTAAAATCGCAAAAGATGTTTTAACGGCCTTAGGAACCCAGTGGAAATATCACACTCCTTGGCATCCACAGAGCTCAGGGAGAGTGGAAAGGATGAACGGGGAAATAAAAAAACAACTGACGAAATTGATGTTAGAAACCAAGATGTCATGGGTAAAATGTTTGCCTCTGGCTTTATTAAATATTCTAACTCAACCCCGAACTGATGTAGGAATCTCCCCATTTGAAATGCTATTTGGAATGCCTTATGATATGGAAGCCCCTACAGACCATCCATGCTTGAAGGATTCCCAGATTAAGCATTATATCATACAAATTATGAGCCGAAGGCAGGAATTGAGGGAAAAAGGGATGTTGACACAGAGGCCACCTTTAGACATTACAATACATAAAATCAAACCAGGGGACAATGTGCTTATTAAATCCTGGAAAGAAAATTCTTTAACCCCATGTTGGGAAGGCCCCTTTGTTGTTCTGCTTACCACAGGAACTGCGATACGGACAGCCGAGAAGGGGTGGACACATGCCAGTCGAGTTAAAGGTCCGATCACCACAGATGACCAGTGGAAAGTGACCAGCCTGCCTGGGGATTTGAAGGTTACCATTAAGAAAAACCGATGAACTCTGTGTGTACCATTCAAGTTGATCACAAAGGGGAACAAAAGGGATATGATTACCTGCTTGTTAGTGATTATTTGATAATTTGTAATAAGGTAGATTGTGATTGTTATCCTTTTGTGTGCTTTGTGTGTAAAGTTTGCCAAGAACGGTGGTGGGTCCATTGCCAAAAGGGGAGGCCGCCAACTGGGGTCTGTACAGAATGCTATAAGGCTGAATGAAAGTTAACCAAAATTGCGTTAAAATTAGGGGAATTGGAAATTCAGTGGGTTCGTTTCGAGTCTGAGGATTGGTGGAAAATATACACAAAAGGAGTACATCCAGGAAACTTTTGTTTCCATACTAACGAACCCACTCAATTTGTTGCCCAAATTATAAAAGGGTGTTGTCGGAGGGAACTAAAGGGGGTCCCGTGCGACCCACCCCTGGTCAAGGATAAAAATTGGGAACAGTACAAGGTTAGGCAGGAGCAGGGGAAGGGACGCCCAGGCGAGTACCGCTGCTGCCGAGAAGATGGTTCACCTCGCGGCTCGAAGCAACCGGGTCGGCAAGCGAGGCAGAGGGGAAAAAGCCAGGTCCCCCCCCAATGGAATAATGCTAAAATGCTCCAACTATTGCCAACCGAGTACTAGGTTCCCCTGGACGACCCGTCTGATTGCCTCTGAAACACCAAAAAGGCAACAAACCCAAAAAGGGAAAACAGGATATTATGCAGTAAAAACAAGTTCAGGACCCCACCCTTATTGGCAGATTATAAGTATTTTAATGCTTTGTATCATACATAAAGGGGAGAGTTCCCCGGCTCTGCACCAGCCCTTTAAGTGGACGCTAACCGGAATAGATGGCAGGGTAATTCAGAGTCAGATAACATCCGGACCCCCTATTTTTACCCCACAGTTATGTGAACTAGCCCCTGTAGAGCCCTGTTTTAATACCGCAGGATTTTACATGTGTCCAGCATCGAACCCAGGAAAGGGGTATTGCAATTACCCTGGAGAATATTTCTGTGGGTACTGGGGGTGTGAAACAATAGCCTCAGACTGGCAAGCAGCAGGAGATAAATTTCTTAAAGTATCATGGGGACCCTATGGGTGTACACCTCCACAAAAGGATTCTAGTGGCGCCTTCTTGGGCGGGTGGAAAGGGAGTTGCCAATTTGTACATTTAAACATAACTGAGCCCACAGACCCAGGATGGATGGTGGAAAGATCATGGGGCTTTCGGTATTGGGAACCTGGAAAAGACAGAGGGAGTGTATTTACCATAAAGAAAGGGCCTGTACCAGCAGACACACAGGCAGTAGGCCCTAATCCTGTAATACTTAGGGATTTAACAGCTAGGAACCTGATAACGGATAACCAAACTACAACTCCTACAACACCTCCAGGTGGGGATTCCCAGTTTAACACTCTCTGGAAATTAATGGAGGGAGTATATAAAGTCTTAAATGCTACTCAGCCAGAATTAACAGAACACTGTTGGCTCTGCTTTGATGTTAGGCCTCCATTTTACGAAGCTGTAGGGATATCTGAAAAGGCGAGATGTCTTAATGGTAGCAATCCCCCGCAATGTAATTGGAAAGATTCCCGGGGTAAAGGAATGACTTTGGCTTCAATAACGGAGAGAGGACGATGTATTGGCAGAGTACCCACACACCTGGAATATTTATGTGAGACAGTTATTAAAGCTAAACGGGAAGATACTCCAGCTAAATGGCTAGTTCCCGCTAAAAACACCAAGTGGATCTGCTCAAAAGGAGGATTCACCCCCTGTATTTCCTTAGAAATATTTGACGAAACCTCTGACTATTGTATACAGGTGGCTGTGATTCCCAAAATTATCTATCACCCCAACGAATATATGTATAATGTACAAAACATCCCAGAACACCACATACAAAAACGAGAGCCTTTGACTGCACTTACAGTGGCAGTTTTAATGCTTGCAGGGGGAGCAGGTGTCGGTACGGGAGTAGCCTCCCTAGTAAAACAAACAAAGGAGTTTAATTCCCTGAGGATTGCTGTAGACAAAGATTTGGAACGTATAGAACAATCAATATCAGCATTAGAAAAGTCAGTAAGGTCCTTATCGGAAGTAGTTCTGCAGAATAGAAGAGGACTAGATCTGCTATTCTTACAACAGGGAGGACTGTGTGCGGCTCTCCGGGAAGAATGTTGTGTGTATGCAGATCACACTGGGGTGGTACGAGACACTATGACAAAACTGAAAGCAGGACTTGAGAAAAGGAAAAGGGAAAGGGAGGCCCAGCAGAGCTGGTATGAGACCTGGTTTAATCACTCCCCTTGGTTAACTACCTTGCTATCTACAATTGCGGGTCCTTTAATATTATTAGTGTTAGGATTAACATTTGGCCCATGTATATTCAACAAGCTAATTGAAATAGTAAAAAGAAGATTGGAAGCAGCACACCTGATGCTAATCAAAGCCAAATATGAAACTCTCCCTAGAGATCCTGAAGTAGAAGAGACTTTGATTCTAGCCCACCAAGAAATAAAACGATTTGATGAACAAAATGATAAAATATGGAATGGGGGACTGTGAGGAACTGCATTGACTTGTTTGTTCATCAAAAGTATGAAATTAGGATAAAAGGGGGGGAAGTCGGGACATGGAATTTGCAGGCTTGACTGGTAACCACAAACAAAGATTGTGAAAGATTTTGCAGGACTGGCTGGAACTGATAACCGCAGTGGAAGGAGACTCACCACCCCCACTTGTGAAACCCATTGTTGCTGGAACTGATAACCACGGTGGAAGGAGACCCATCACCCCCACTTATGCAGGATAAAAAGGGACTGAAGAGAAGGAAAGGTTGTCAGCTTTTGGCGGAACACAGGCTCCGCAGCTGCACCCAGCGCTGTTTGCTTGCTATCGCTTGCTGTAATTAATAAAATTATTAATTGATCTTAAAAGGCTGAATCAAATTATTCGCCTCAATTTATAACAAGAAGTATGAATGAACAGGCTTGAGGGTGTGAATGAATGTGTGCGAAATAAAGGGGAGTAAATGTAGATGAATGAAAGTATATGTAATGTAGATTGTTTATTTTGAGCTTCACTTTATCTCCTTGTATTGAATAGTATTGTGAGAAAAAGGGTTTTTTTTGTGGGTAGCTGAAAGAATGTGGTATTCAGGTTGCTAGAGAAAGCGAGAAAGAGAGGCAGGGGAAGAATAGATAAGATCTTGAAAAATGGGACAGAAAAACAGTAAGTTGGGTACGGGAAAAAAAAAAAAAAAAAAGAGTAAAATGGAAAAGGGTACCAGCAGAGATACCCCAAGATAGCAAGATAGCCCTATAGCCCTTTAGGAGTTATGTTAGCTAACAGGGATACAAATCCTTGTACAAGGAGAAAATACAGGGTATGCAGTAGTTGATGGGAAAATCATGCAAACTATTGAAAAAGAGAAATTAACCTTAAATTGGTCAGCTCAAACTTGTGAATTATATGCTCTAAAAAGAGCACTGGAATATTTAGCACACAAGACACTATATATACTGATTCAAGGTATGCCTTTGGAGTAGTACATACCTTTAAAAAAAATTGGGAAGAAAGGGGATTACTTAATACAAGCGGAAAAAGATTAGTACATGAGGGACTAATTTCAGAGGTTTTAGAGGCATTAAAATTACCTGAAGAGATAGCTATAGTATATATTAAGGGACACCAAAAGGGAATGAGCCCAGAAATAAGAGGAAATAATCTGGCAGATCAAGAAGCTAAAGATGCAGCAGAAAATAGGGCTGAAATAGTAATGTTAACTCCAAATACAGAGAAATTGGAAATTCCAAAGTTTAGTGAAGCAGAGGAAAAAAAATTAAGCAAGATAGGAGGAGAGCAAGATGAATATGGGAAATGGAAACTTCCTGATGGAAGACAATTGCTTCATAAAACACTTACTAGGAAAAATTAGAAGACATGCATTAGAAAACCCATTGGAGTACTCAGGCTTTGCGTGATCATTTTTTTAGGAACTATGGTTATTGAGATTTTTAGATTAGCAAAGCAAGTAACTGAAAGATGTATAACTTGCCAAAAGATAAATAAAAAGGTGATGAGAAAAACATTAGGAGGTTGTGAGTTTTAAAGAACCATTTTTAAAAATCCAAGTAGAAGTTTAGATTTGTCAGGCTGTAAAATTATTTGTAAATTCAAAAGAACCGTTTAATCCAGAAGAAAGAGAATATGCCACATGCTGGGTAGGAGATTTTAGGAGAATAAAAATCTTTAAAATATCAGAAACCCCCCCGAGACAAAGCAAGAAAAGAAAACGGGGAAAGAAAAGAGCGGGGAACAAGAGGAAAAAAAGGAGAGGAGGAAAGAAAAGTATTGGAATCCTTTGCAAGTATTACCTCCTCCGTTCCCGCTTGTTTCCCCACCGTTCGCGGCTGCACACACACACACTCCCCCCACCCCCGCCCCAGCCCCCGTCGCGGATTCGGTTTCGCTACTCGTGGCTGCACTGCCGGTCCCATCGGTCCCCTCCCCGACCGCTCCTCCCGCAGCTGTCCCCGCTGTCCCATCCCCGGCTGCTCTGCCCGTGCCGGCTGTGATGGGCGCCGCCGCTGCTGCCGGGGCCGCTCCACCTGGTTTTGTCTGCGCCGGGAGCTGCCGCCATGAGCTATGTGCGGGCCACCCACACCCCGGTTTGGTTTCCACCGGAAGCCCTCCACTCCTTTGACGGTTCCGGCAGCAGACCCCGCCTGCGCCTTGGAGGACCAACTTTCGGCGCGAACCCCTCCCCTCAAATCCCTTCTTGCCCTGGGTCCCTTTCCTTTGGTAACTGCAGCTGTTTTTCTCAAGGTAATTAAAGGAATAAAAGAGGAGGCACCCTGAAGGCAAAATGCTATGAAGGCTTTTGAGGGAGACAGGGGAAAGGAAAAGAACGGAACCCAAATACAAACTGTAATATATGTTATGGAATAATTCATGCTTATGTAAAAAATATATATGTAATAAATGGTGCTTGTACGAAAAATTCTTAAAATTTTTAAACCACAAGCCACAGCCGGGGATAGGTTGTGAAACCACAGATAGCAGCAAGCAGACAGAACTCATTTAAAAACGAAAAAGCATGGCTCTGTGTGGAGATGGGCCCTTTGCCTGGACCATCCAGGAGACACTCAAGGCGATGAATACACGTGAGATATCTACGTCAAGATAGTCAGAGTCGTCAGAAGCATGTCAGGAACATGCATCCCAATACCAGGCTCCCCTAACTCAACATCAGCTATCTAACACCGAACCTCGGTGGTGAAATAAAAATTGTATTAATTATTAATTTGGCTTGATCATTTATTACCTATAACACAAACCAAATCTCAGGGGCATTACAGAAATGTCTATTTTTACTGTGGAGTCAAAGGGCATTATAGGAGGAATTGTCCTAATCAAATAAAAGATCTGAAAATCTTCCGAGAGATGGGCACAGAAGAAGAATAGGGAAGTCATAAGCTCTATTTTTTGGGGGGACAAATACCATCTGGAGCGTGTGATAACTTTAAAAGTGGGTCCCTGTAGTTTCTGTTGTTTTCCCCCTCTCCACGCAGCCCCCCGAATAATCCGACTAGCTCAAAGATATGGGGCTGTGAGGGGAGGAATACCAGGAGAGGGAAGGGTATTCAAAAGAGGCTCTTACCGCAAGGGTGTTGGAACAGCTCTCTTTATTCTGAGGTGTCCATGGGAGAGCGGGGCAAAAGAGAGAGAGAGCAGGAAGTCTCAGGGGTCTATATAGGTTTTGGACAGGGTGGGCTTTCCTGGCTCTCTGCCAACCCCGTTGGGGCAGGAAGGAGGATCCAGGGGTTATCTTGATCAGAGTCACAGGGTCCCGGGGGAAAGGGGGGCAAAGGGTGCCATGAGCTCACTGTAACAGGGCCCCCTTATTTGTTAAACAAGGTTACAGGAATTCTCTGGGCTCAATTTAACCCTGAGTATGGGTTTCCCACCACCCCGTGTTGGTGGCATAGTCAGGCCTCCTCAGGTTAGCCAACTCTATGTGGTTGACCTCTGAGGCAGAAGGTATGAGGCCCTTGATAGCCTTGAAAATCAAGTGACGCAGGATCCCGAACGCTAGGGTTACAAGGAACAGAATAACAAAGACTAACAAAATTGATCTAACAACAGATGTCCACCACCCCATGAATCCCCATCCCTTGAACAGTTCTGTAAACCAATCTTCAGACTCTTGCTTCACTTGTCCAATCAGGCTGTTCATGCTTCGAAGGGCAGCATGGATGTTTGGAGCTTTTGAAGTCAGGTCCATGCAACAAAGTCCTTCAAATTCCTTGCATTCATGTCCATGCAGTAGCAAAAGGAAATCTATTGCAGCACGACTTTGCAGCGTGGCCTGTCTGGTAATTTCCTCGTCTTCTAGGAGGGAGCTGATGGCAGCAGATGTTAAGTTTGCCTGTTTGACTACCCAGCACTCTAGGTGGCCCAATTCACCTAGAGCTTTGGCTGCTGTGACCCACGGAAGAAACAGGGACACAGCAACTCTTTTTGACTTGGCCCAATGAAAAATTTCTGAGTTACAATTTGGGTCCAAAGTGTCTGCACTCCTCTTTTGAATTTTGTTTGCCGATTTATTTTTGTGAGTCCATTCACCAATTAGAGTTTGGTTGGGTGTCAATATGGACAGCCTCCCAATCGTACACAGCCTTCCGAGATGGAATTCCTGCCCATGCCCTATCCCCACAAATTAAAAACAATCCCTTAGGGAGACCTTTGGGGCTGGAGTGAGATGGGTTGTCTGCCCCGATATGGCTCGTGTTCTGACACCACCTCATTGCAGTGAACTCCCCACGGTGTTGTTTTATAACATGGTATTCGTCAGTGTTAGAAGGTTTTGGGAGCACAGGAAAGTGTATACAGTAAGCTGCAGGGGAGGAACCCAATAGCTCTAACTCTTGGGGTTCCTGAGCTATCTTGGGAAAACCCCGCAACCACTCCTCTAAGGACTTTAGGATCCCCCCGACTTGCTTCTGATCTTTGTGTGGTCGTGGGGTGTATGACTCTGGGATTTCATTGGACCTGTATGTGTTCAGGCCTGCTGGAAATTCTCCAGCCTGCCATGGAATTCCTACCAAAAAGGTGGACATAGGGTCTTTTGCTGCTGCAGTGGACAAGCAAATGTTTTCCTGCTATAGTGTCTGTGCCAGGGTCACCCAGACGTTTTGACGTGGCTGAGGGACGATCCATGCAGCTGCCTGACTGTTCAGCATTAGCAGGATGGCAACTCGGATGGGGTTCATCACAGGGTTGAGTGGGAGGTAGGTTTTCTCTAAAAAGGAAAAACAAACATTTTAAGAACATGTTAAAGCTTCTGTTTCTGCCGGAAGGAATTCCTGCCTAGGAACTTTCTTCTTCTCCCATCCGGCGGCGTCTTCTCTTTGAAGCATCAGCTACTTGCTTCTTGTCCCCTTCTGTTTGACCTGGATTCTTGGGGACAAAAGGTTTCACCCACTTCTGGGGAATCCACCGAGGGCCTGAGGGAGTAGCTACACACGCATAGCCACGACCCCAGGTTACAAGTCCATAGGGACCCTTGGTTTCCCAAGTTTCCGGATCCCTAATCAAGACCAGTGGATGCTGAGACAATTTGAACTGGTTGCCACTGTTAAAGTGACGCACAACCGGTGGACTCATATTTTCAAATGAACAATTCAGAAAATTGATAGTAAACATGGCTTTACAGAGCTTTTCTCGTGGAGACATCCATGGAGCTGAGCTGTTTTGTTTTTTCAATACCTGCTTGAGCGTCTGGTGTGCACGCTCGCCTACAGCTTGACCTGTGGGGGAGTGGGCAATGCCAGTTTTATGTTCCACTCCCCACTGTTGGAGAAATTCCAGAAACTCCTTGGATACATACGCTGGGCCATTATCTGTTTTGATCGTTTTTGGCACCCCCAATACT